TAAAAAAACTAAAAACAACTTTACTGTCGAACACAGGGCAAATATTTACATATTTAAATGATTATTAAAATAATAATGCATTTAAGTAGAGGCTTCTAAAAACTAAAAACATTGCGATGTGTCCAAACGCTGGAGATAATCATGAGTTGTTTCTGTCTTTTGTCAGGCCCCCGGTGCACAGACCCCAGGGATGAAGGCAAAGGGAAGGAAAAGCTGTTGAAGTATTTCTATGATCCGCGGTCGCAGGGCTGCGTCCCGTTCTTCTATAGAGGCGAAGGCGGCAGCAGCAACCGCTTCAGCAGCGATAGAGACTGTGTGAAAGCATGCTCGCCCAAAGCTCACGAGATCTACCCGGATGACGGTAAAACAATCAACAAGTATTTGATGATTTGACACGAGTGAAGTGAGGTTTAATTTTTCATGCTCTTTCCCTCGTGTCCGTCAGATAAGGTCTGCTCTCTGCCAAAAGATGAAGGCGCCTGCTTCGCTGCCATTCCGAAGTATTATTACGACACTGAAGAGAAGATGTGCCTTATGTTCTTGTACAGAGGCTGCAATGGAAACGCCAACCGTTTTGATTCTCGAGAGGATTGTCACAATATGTGTGCCGGTCAGTTCAGCTCTCATTTCGTCATCAGCACCTGTCCTGTTTTATGGAAAGAATTATAGATTAAATGTTAAAACGGCTTGCCATACCTGTTTAGACAAGTCACACGCTCTCAGGAAAAAAGGTACAATGCTGTCACTGTTGCGGTATCCTAAGGTACAAAAGCTATATTAGTACCTAAATGTAACGCCCCAGTGACAGTTTTTGTACCTTTTTTTCTGAGAGTGCAGATGAGTTAATAATCAAACCCTCAGTTTCACTGGAAGTTTATTAGTTTTTTAGTTAGTGTCTTTACAGCTGTTTAAACTTCGGGTATATAAATAGGTTGTTTCGTTTTTTTTGAAGATGGCAAACAATTGGAGGTTATAAGTTATGAGTTAATAACTGATCTTGTTCTGTAAGTTCCCACGTCTTTGACCAGTTCTTCCACTTCGACTGATGCCAGTTACTTCAAAATGCTGGGTTGTTTCAACCCTTCTTTGGGTCAAATATGGACTAACCCAATTTTTTGGGTTAAAAATTTTATTGAAAAATTTGAAATTTGAAATTGAAATTGAAATTGAAACAACCCAGCATTTTTTAGACGTGAGATAAAGCCTCATTTTAAATGTTAAATAAACACAGATGCACAGAGAAGAAGAGGATGTCCTAAACATTACTGCTATATAAAAAAAAAATTAGGCAGTAAATTGGGACTTTTTGAGTCAACTATGTGAAAATAATGACTTAGAGTAGGCTATCTATAAGGAGCTTTAGGATACTCCACTTCAAATGATTTTTATTTTTATTTTTTTTAAATGACACATTATGACACAAGGACATTAAATTGATCAAAAGTGATAGCAGAGACATTTATAATGTTACAAAAGATTCTATTTCAAATAAATGCTGTTCTTTTGAACTTTCTACTCATCAAAGAATCCTGAAAAATAAAATGTGACCCTGGAGCACAAATCCAGTCATATGTGTCAATTTTTCGAAATTGAGATTTATACATCATCTGAATAAATAAGCTTTCCATTGATGTATGGTTTGTTATGATAGGACAATATTTGGCCGAGATACAACTATTTGAAAATCTGGAATCTGAGGGTGCAAAAAAATCTAAATATTGAGTCAAATGAAGTCCTTAGCAATGCATATTACTAATCAAAAATGAAGTTTTGATATATTTACGGTAGGAAATTTACAAAATATCTTCATGGAACATGATCTTTACTTAATATCCTAATGATTTTTGGCATAAAAGAAAAATCTATAATTTTGACCCATACAATGTATTGTTGGCTATTGCTACAAATATATCCCAGCGACTTAACACTGCTTTTGTGCTCCAGGGTCACAAATGTATCAGTTTCCACACAAACGTCAACTGTTTTCAACACTGATAATAATCAGAAATGTTTCTTGAGCAGCAAATCAGCATATTAGAATGATTTCTGAAGATCATGTGACACTTATTTGAACATAGATTCACATAGAAAACAGCTGTTTTAAATGGTGAAAACATCAGATGATTTCTTTTGGGTTTTTCATCATTTCCTAACACGTTGAGCAGCTTCAGTGATGGAGTGTGTGTTCATCTGTTGTCCACTAGAGGTCAGTCAGTCTGTTCTTCTGACTGTCCTGAACTCACTGACTGTATAATGGTTTTTCACAGCACGATCCGGACGGCTGCTGGGAGCTGAAGACCTGCCAAACCCTGATGAGAAGACTGTTGATGCAGGTACATTTTAAAATATTTTTTATATTTTAATTGTTGCCACTGTTGTGGTTTGGCATAAAAGTTCTGCTGATGCTTTAATAATTGCACGTTTCATCATTCATTGCATCAGTGCATTAAAAAAGTATTTTTTCAAGAGTCCATAAACATGCACTCTAAAAAATGCTGGGTTAAATACAACCCAGTGCTGGGTGAAATATGGATACCCCCAGCAATTGGGTTGTTTTGACCCAGCGGTTGGGTTACTACCCAGAAGGTTGGGTTAAACATTTAACCCAACCGCTGGGTCAAAACAAGCCAATTGCTGGGTGTATCCATATTTCACCCAGCACTGGGTTGTATTTAACCCAGCATTTTTCAGAGTGTGTTTTGATCATGTATATTTCCTCTCTCAGGGCTGATTGTGGGTGTTTTGGGTGGGATTGTGTTCGCTGGTGCTGTCATTTCTGCAATCGTGGTGTTTGTGCTCCAAAAGTAAGTATCACGTGATGTGAAGAAGTGCTGAGAGCAAAATGCCCACACTCTAAAAAATGCTGGGTTAAATACAACCCAGTGCTGGGTAAAATAGGGACAAACCCAGCAACTGGGTTGTTTTGACCCAGCGGTTGGGTTACTACCCAGAAGGTTGGGTTAAACATTTAACCCAACCGCTGGGTCAAAACAGCCCAATTGCTGGGTTTGTCCCTATTTTACCCAGCACTGGGTTGTATTTAACCCAGCATTTTTTAGAGTACATTTACAGTCATTTTACCCTGTTTAATCTTAATCTTTTTGAGAAAGTATCTAAAAGGTTTCTTTTCATTCATAGGAAAAGCAAGAAAGCGGAACGAAAGCCAGTGCCGACGTCTGATGTCGAAATGAAATAGATCTTTGTTCACAACATTTGTTTGTACATACCTTGCTAGTGCTTTTGTACCATTTATACAAGTCATGTTTGAACAGTAATAGAACAATTGGGTTTAAATGATAAACATTAGTGTCCATGATAATGTTTTGTTTGACTAGAAAGGTTCAACAATGTAAAACAGTTAAATACTAAAAGCAATCCGGTTTTGTTTGATATATGACAGCAGTTTCACAGATGTACCTGATCAAATGTATTGTAATTATTAAGATGATGTAACAAACAAATCAGAACTTTTCTGTGTTTTATATTGTTTTTTAACGAGAGATTGTATTAATACAATAAATCATACATTAATACAATTTTGTTTGTTTCGTTTTTAATATATAATATATTATTAAATTTGATGTATAATATAATACATTATATTAAATATATAATATTTAATATTAATAACAGATTAGATTCAAATAAAGAAGCAGAATCTGTATTTTAAGCAGATCTAACCAGAAGTACAAATAGTTATTTATTCATATTTATTTACTTATAATATTCTAATGATTAAAGTCAAATTTATTATATATATATGTGACCCTGGAGCACAAAAGCAGTGTTAAGTCGCTGGGGGATATTTGTAGCAATAGCCAACAATACATTGTATGGGTCAAAATTATATATTTTTCTTTTATGCCAAAAATCATTAGGATATTAAGTAAAGATCATGTTCCATGAAGATATTTTGTAAATTTCCTACCGTAAATATATCAAAACTTCATTTTTGAGTAGTAATATGCATTGCTAAGAATTTCATTTGGACAACTTTAAAGGAGATTTTCTCAGTATTTTGATTTTTTTGCACCCTCAGATTTTCAATTAGTTGTATCTCGACCAAATATTGTCCTATCCTAACAAACCATATAAATGCTGTTCTTTTTAACTTTATTAATCAAATAATCCTAAAAAAGTATCCAGGTTCCCAAAAAAAAAAAAATGTTAAGCAGCAAAACTGTTTCCAATATTAATAAATAATAAATCAGCATATTAGAATGTTTCTGAAGATCATGTGACACTGAAGACTGGAGTAATGATGCTGAAAATACAGCTTTGCATCACAGAAATAAATGACATTTTAAAGTACATTAAAATAGAAAACCATTATTTTAAATTGCAATAATGTTTCACAATACAGTTTTTTCTGTATGTCTGATGAGCAGAAGAGACTTCTTTAAAAAGTAATAAAAATCTTACTGATCCCAAACTTTTGAGAGAGAGAGAGAGAGAGACGCTGCGTGGACGCGACAGAGCCTGGATAGAAACACAGAAACGCGAGCTGTTGTTTTGTGATGCGAGACTGTAAGATTGGACCGTTTGAAGCTCACGAGCAACATTAGAGACGGAGGATGGAGGAAAAGCTGCCTGAAGATCTGGCGAATCTCTCCGAGCTGGACGAGAAAAGTTTGCTGGAGGTTTTGACTGGACGCTTTACACAGAACCTCATCTATGTGAGTAAAGTACAACGGGTAAAAATACTCAGAAATACCACACATCACTGTGTGAGGTCTGAAGTAAAGCAGCTGAGATGATCAAATCAACAGCTCTTGTTCTGTGGGACAGATGTTATTCTCTGACTGTATGTAAATCACTGAGATATGACTAACTGAGTTTTTATATGTTTACAGACCTATATAGGGGACATCTTGGTGGCTATTAACCCATTTAAATATCTTTCAATTTATGAAAAAGAGGTAAGTGTTTCTTTAGCTACAAAGAAGATTTGTGTCCAGAAAGCATGTTTAAATCAGAAAATTAAACTGTTATCCTGTGCAGGTATCCGAGCAGTACAAGTGCCATGAGAAGAAGTCTTTGCCCCCTCATATATGTGCTGTGGCGGACCGGGCGTATCAGTCCATGCTGGGACGTCTGGCCACGGGACCCAAGAACCAGTGTATCGTGATCAGGTTTGTGTTACCAGCAGATAATTCACCAGAACCAGTGGTTTCTCCAGGAGAGCATGTCTGAGGGGTTTCTAGCCTCTAGATGGTCATATGGTGGCGTGTGTCAGACTCAGTACAGAATGACATTTCTTGCCCAGTCACGTTTGTTTTTTTCAGTGAGACATGTATAGACAAGACCAGCATTCCCTTTTTTGACATATCAGATGTCTGTTTCATTTAAAAACACAAGCAGAAGTTTATTAACATACTGTTGTTTCCACCACAGAATTTGAAAAATTAATAAATAAAAATAATTGTTTTTTAAAATA